CTGCGAGGAACTCTGCAAAAAACGCATCTTCGCACGGGCAGCCCGTGCGTTGGCCATTTATTTGATTAGCTATCGTCTCGTTTCTTTGTCACGTACTTTTGACTTTCACGACATGTCATTTTCCGTAAGGGTTGCAAAAGTCTGAGAAATGAGTCCTAAAAAATCAGGCAGTTATCAAAGATCTGATGTACTTGTTTAACACCCCTATCATTTCGTTGCCTTCAAGTGTTTAAAACCAAAGCTCCCCCTGACTCAATCTTTCAAATTGCCCAGTTTTCCACTCACTTTTAGGAGCGTTCTGTTTGGCCTGCTCGAAATGTAAGTAGAGTTGCATTCGTCGCGTGTCCGTTTTCCATGTGAATCGTGCTGTTTGCAATTTTTCAAGGCTTTCAGCTGCATCGTCGCCGTATCAAAAAAAACAATCCTAGGCCATGGCTAACGGATACGAAACAAATTATGTAAGTTAATTCTCGAGCTTTGCACTCAGAACCTCGTTTTACTGTCTGAAGGAAAAGTTCCCTCGAAATTTTCGCTCTACAAATCATGTTGCTCTTTACAAAAGACTCGATTTAGACGTTACACTCAAAACCTCACATTAAAAGGGGTCACACAAGCACTTTGTAGTACAGATAATCGTACTGCCATTATCAGCTTACTGTCAAAATTACCTGTATTGGCTCCTTCTTTCGTGAATTGAATGGAAGAAAAGAGACTGAAAGAAGTTTGGGTCAACAGCCTGTTAGGCGAGTCACATTGGCGTCCAGTAAAACCGGAAATTAGTTTTTTCCTGAAGTGGGTCGACTTGTCAAAGTCTTCATCTTGTTCGGATTAAAGCATTGAGCAGAGACTAATAAGTGTAATCCAGGGATTGCTTCTGGATGAGTGATTGTGGCTGCACAGTCCTGTATACAACAAGACAGCCAATAGCACGGCAAATGATTGATTACATTAACAAAAGCTCAAATTTCTGGATCCTGCAGAGCTAAAATTCCATTAAAATTTCTAGTCGAAATTGTCTGGTTTCACCCTATTTTTTACTGACACTGAATTGTTTGAGTTAGCTCACTGCTCGACCTGAAGTACAGATAAATGGAGAAAATATTAAAAGTTCGAAAAACTATGTGAAAAAAATAAGCAATCAGTAAAAGTACTCGAAAATGTGAAAAGAATAAAAAATGCGGATACACAGGGAAGCGTACTGGTTCATCTAGAGAGATTTTCACAAAGGGCTGTGCGTCTCAAAGATATTTTTTGGTAATTTTTTTTGATTGCAACGATTCGTTTGGTTAAATTAATATATTTAAGTCACTGAGCTTGCGTTTTCTTCTTGGCCGGTGTCAGAAGAAATGGTTCTGTCAGGATTTCGAATTACTATCTCAGTTATCACTTTTTTGTTTTAAAATTATTTAATTTTGTTTCCTTTCCGTATCTCATATAGCCAAATGCCGCCTTTACATAAATAAGCATTCAGATAATTGAAAAAGATGAAATAATAGATCCTAAGCAGGCGGTGATGAAGTTGCATTGGGAACAGCATTCTCATTTCCCGCTTTCAAGATATTATCCAGGGACTGGTGCTGCGCTGCATACTAATAACATTTTGTTTGGGGCCACCCTTGTCCAAGGATGCCACAGTTCAGACGAAACTTGAACATTTTTCAGTGTCTTGCATCAGGTTGAAATCACTGTAGTACTGGTGACTAAAATATGTTGAAGCCATGAAGCTGCTGTCTTTTAAGAATTCTTGAGGGACCATTCTTAATCAGCTGAAAATTTTAAAGAATTTGAAAGTTGAGGTTCCACTCTTGATCCGTTTACACCAAACGCTGAACTAGCAACCTACGAGAACTGAGTTTTTTTTTTAGCTTCGCGATGATTCAAAATCAATTTTAGCATTTGATGTTAAGCAAATAGTGAGAAACAGACGGCAAATAAGATCAGAAAAAAAATCTCCAGTTGATTTTTCTTAAGGACCGCCTCTAACAGTTCTGCAAAAATTTTGTGTTGTAAAGTGGTGGAGAGGCGTTGTCTGCACGGCTACGTACTGTTGACTCAGTGACTCCTCGGCTACATTACACCAAAATAGATCGATTTCTGTTCCTTAAAAATTTCATTCTAACCTTCGGTGGTATTCACTTAGCTGCTGCATTCCCTCAGCTCAATCTTTTCGATCTTCAGAATCCAGTGATGGACAGTTACATTGTGAGTTTACGGAATTCTCAATCTAAACTCCCTTATTCTGTAATTTTTGTCTGCTTGGGCTTCATTTGAAGTCAAATTCGGACATTCAGATTCCCCTCTTTTCTCTCCCTTTTATGTTTCATTTGGCAGCTTCCTTGGATTTGTACACGTAAGCCGCTAAATACACTAAAAAACAGGGAGTTTATCGCTTTCCTTGATTACCACTCACACTGCTTACCAATTTCGATACTCTTCTTGATCTCCAGCAGCGTAACTAACTCCTGTTAGCGATTGTTGTCTTTGCAGTGTGTGAGCTTTTTTGTGGAAATATCAAAGAATTTAGCAAATTTTTTTAACGAAAGAGAGATGCTTAGTACGAAATTCATTGCAGCCGGTGCCATATCGAAGCAAATTGACGGAGTCGTTCGAACCCGGACAGACACTTATCGTGAAAGGTAAAACAGCAGAAGATTCTGTAAGGTAAGACTTTGATTACTCTCCACTAAGCCAACTAGTCGAGAGGTTGAGTCGAACCGCCAGTTCAATTAGACAAGAAAAGAGGCAACAAATATTCTGCGTTTTCAAGATATTCTGTGTTTCTTTCCAGGGAATCAGTAATGTTTTAAAAATTCTCAAGATTTTCTGTGTTTTTCAGCAGTTTTAAAAACAAATTTCGGTTGTTTTGTGGGCTTCAGTTTAATGTTTCAAAAATTTGCTTGTGTCATTTTCTGGAAAAAATCTTCGCTCCCCACTTTTGTCATATGTAGGAAGCATAACTATCTCCTATGGAGACAGAACTTGAGCAGTTCCTATGCCAGTGATGTGTGTGTATCCCGACCCCAAGAACTCTCGGTCTATTTTTACAGACTTTATTTAGAAAGGTAATGAAATAAGCTGAGAAGTGCTACATCCCATCAGAAAGCAAATGGTTACATCCGAAAATGACAAATTTGGCACTTACTTGCCGGAAAAGCTATATTCAAGGGGATGGTGAGCGAAACATCATTTTCCTGCGAAAGACGCCCAAATAAGTGTTCTTTCCCACAGCCACTTCGAATGTAAATAGATTTTACCGTATATTGGTATCCCCCACCCCTCATCTTTTAGCTGACTGTGTATGTCATTGACACCGTACAACTTTTCAACATATCATACTGTACTTTTTTCAGATTTACAATAAATTTGCATAATACAGCGGCAGACTTCAGCGGTAATGATGTACCGTTGCATATATCGGTGCGCTTTGATGAAGGAAAGGTTAGTCTTTCTTTTGACGCTGTTTTCGCCGAAAAGTCCTTTGCAGCTGAAAGTTGCAGTTTCTAATGCTCAGTACTGCAAAACCTTTGTACCTCTTGTTGAAATAGCCAAAATTTTCCTTTTTATGAGAGTATAAAACGAAGAAAAAAGCATGCGAATGGCGTGCATGAAAGTCAACTGCTCTTCTCTAACGATTTCGGTGACAGAGCGCAGAGCTCATTGAAGCAGCGCCTTGCTTCATTTTTCTGAGTATTTGCAACTTTTCAACTGGCAGTGGGATATGTTGTGAGGCCATCTTATCGTACATTGCATGTCTTTGCTGTTATAGATGTCAGCGCCTCATTTTGCATTTTAAATAAGTTTTTTTTTTTTTTTTTTTTTTTTTTTTTTTTTTCCGGGGGGGGGGGGGGGGG